CGGCCTGCGTCCTGAGCCCCTGCTCCCCACCGCCCTGTCCCTGGTGCCTGTCCTCGGCAGGCGGAGGCCGTGTCTCTGGCTGCTGTCCCCACCAGGGCCGAGACCCGTCCTCCTCGCCTACGCGGCCTGGCAGAGTCCGTTAGGCTCCGGGGCCCGCGGGTCTCCACCACCTCCACCGCCTTCGCAGGCTTCGGGGAAGCGAAAGGAGGAGCAGGGGTGAGTAGGTGCCATCTTCTCTGCACGGCCCGGCTGGGGGTCCTGGGCAGGGAACAGACCTCAGCCCGGATTCTGGATTTCCGGATTTCCGCTCAGCTCTGGGGAGGGGATCAGCCGGGCACCGGCGCCTCCACTGCACGCCGCCCTCCACGGTCCCCGGTACAACTCGGCCCGGAGGCGCTGGTGGCCCTGGCTTTTCCCCTGGGACAGTAATTGTTTTTTTTTAATGAAAAAGTGGTGCCTTGATCACCCAGGGGCTGGGACCTCAAAGATGAAAAACACCCCTTAGTGGTTACATGGCAGAACCCCCCCCACATACACATGCACACACACACACACACGCACGTGCACACACACGACCAACCACGGTGGAGTCCCGGACTCAGTGGCTTGAAACTCACTCCAGGCTCCTGTGCATGTGTGCCCAAGATCCCAAGAGGGGAGTGGAGGAGACGTGGCCATGCCCCTGGCGGGTGATTTCTCACTTTCTCTCTCTGTCTCTGTCTCTCTCTCAGATAAGCACACACACCCTAAAGCAAAAACCCTTAAAAGCATAAAAAAAGATGAAAAACAAAACAAAACAAAAGACCCCCTACTGTCCTACTTGTAGGCAGAGTTTGGAGGTTCAAATCCCTTGAGGGCACCAGGGTGAAGCTTACCCAAGGTTTTCTCTGGTCTCATTAGAAGATGGCTTTAAAGAGACCAGCAGGTGGCGTTGGTAGTTAAGGCGCTGGACACTCCCACGTGGCCGACCAGGGTTTGAGTCCTGAATCTGGTGGCTTGCTTTCTCACTTCCTCTCTCACTCTCACCCTCTGTCTCTCTCCGATCAAACTAAAAAATAAATGGATGATTAAATAAAATAAATAATTATTTTTTAAAAAATGGCTTCAAATCAAGTAGCATGAGGGAAAGGGGCCCTGAGGAGTGTGTGGAGTTGTGGGAATGGTGACACAACCTAGCTAGGTCCGTTAGAGCAATGCGAACCCGACATCGTCTGTCGAGCGTCAGTAACCGAATATCGTGGGTCCAGACGGACACTTCTTAAAATCACTGAATCTAGATTGGAATACAATTACACAGCCGAGAGTATCGCAAATACTATAGTACAAGGGCCAGCAGGTGGCGTGGTGGTTAAAGGCGCTGGACTCCCACATGGCCAACCGCGGTTCAAGTCCTGGATCCAGTGACTTGCTTTCTCACTTTCCCTCTCTTTCTCTCTGATCAATCTAGAAAATAATAATAATAGTAATAATAATCATAATAAAGTTAAATAAAATAATTCTTTAAAGAGTATACTACAAGCAAGTATCCTCTGTGAAGCACTGATTTCATTTGTGTGTGTAGGCATATTTCTATAAACGAGGGGTGTTCAAGAAGCTCGTGGAAGGGACCAGCAGTTAGCGT